TTCAGTGAAATAAGCCAGGCGGAGAAAGACAAGTGTCAAATGATTTCACTCATCTGTGGAGTATAAGAACAAAGAGAAAACTGAAGGAACAAAACAGCAGCAGACTCACAGAACCCAAGAATGGACTAACAGTTACCAAAGGGAAAGGGATTGAGGAGGATGGGTGGGAAGGGAGGGATAAGGGGGGAAACGGGGCATTATGATTAGCACACATAATGTAGGGGGTTGGGGACATGGAGAAGGCAGTATATGCAGGGAAGACAAGTAATGATTCTATAGCATCTTACTACGCTGATGAACAGTGACTATAATGGGGTATGTCGGGGGGGCTTGATAATAGAGGGAGTCTAGTAACCATAATGTTGTTCAAGTAATTGTACATTAATGATATCAAAATATATATATATATATATTGTCAGAAGTAAGAAAAAGAGCAAGATCTATAGCACAGTATTGTTTATGAGAATTTGAAAATACACACAGCACCACAATATGAGAATGCAAAAATACATTCTTATACATTTTTATATTTATCCCCCACTTTTTGAAAGTTTGCATTACTCATTTACAAAAGCACTCATTAGTATCTATTTTCCCTAATTTAAAGAAATCCGGACTTTTACTTTTACGAAAAAAGGCAAAAAGAGAAAATAATGTTCAGCATTTGTTTTGCAGTGAGCCTTATTGAGGCAGTGTGCACCCCAAGCAGGGAGAGTGGCGCCACCAAGTTCTTTCTCTGGGAATTACACTCAACATCTCGGCATCGAGCCACCATAGCTTTGAACTATGTCTGTGAGCATATGCTGTATCTCAATTTATTGTGTGCATTCGTTAGCAAGATGTGTCCTCAGCTATCAGAAAAGCCTAAGAAAGGTTATTTGTTGGGGTCTGAGAATGCTCAAAATTGATTCCAAATAAATAATGCTAATTGCTTCTTCGCCTTATGCCATTTCGGCTTCCAAAGGTTTTGCAAGACCACTATACTTTCAGATAGTGGGGGAAACCTGTGTATATGTGTGTATGTGTATGTATATTATATATATGTATGAAATGATGATGAAAGTGTGACATAAACTGAAGATTATGATTAAATTTGTTCTTGGTACCGGAATGCCAAAACAAAACAAGGTAAAACTAATATGAAATAAATTAGACATCCCTGGTCAGGTTTCTTCCCTCAAGTACTTTATCTTTCCTGTACATTACTGCAGAGAAAACATAATATTTTTAAACCTCTCTTCTTAGTTTCTTTTAGCAAAAATAATCATCAATATATGGGTTCTGAAAGCTTGATAAAAACACTTGAAAAGGGAGTTTAATGAAACTTGCTGTGGAAGTGAATATAAGATGATATAAATACTTGTTGCTTATTTTTGAGAAGGGAAGTGTACTTATCAGCATAGAAACCCATTCTAGGTTTGAATGTTGTCCTCTTAGCTCTCTCATAGTGCACTTTAATAATAGCATTGCTGTGAAAAATTATATGGGTAACTATGAGGAGTAAGTGTGGGGAGCTGCAGCATTAGATTTCCCACAGAAATTAAATCTAAATGAGATTTCTAAGTCATCAAAGTGTCATTAGGACTGACACAGCCAATTTAGGAAACTAACATTATCAACAAAAGCCAAGCATACATATATTTCATTACCCAGCCATTCAACTCCTATGTGCATACCCAAGAAAAATATGTGCTATGTCCATCAAAGGGCATGTATGTGAATGTTCATAGGACTTTGTACACTTTTCTGTATGTATATTATTCTTTGACAAAACTTACCTCCAAAAAAGTCATTAGGGAATGTCTTTGGTAATTAGGTTCCAACTGTTAATGCCAGCAAAACAGGAAAGCAGATTTAAATCTGGCTTCTTGGATGTTAAGGATTAATTTGTGGTTAGTCACAAGCATGCTCAAAGCAACAAATTCAGATATATGGTAAAATACAAGCACGAGAAGAGCAGTGAGAAACCTTTACAACTTTCTTTCTTGGACCTTAGTTTTTTCCTTGAGTAAGATTCTCCATCAAGCTCAACCAGAAGTATTTTTGTTACCCCAACTAAAAGCTCAGTAGGATTCACAACCTCATCAGTTGTACCAGTCAGTTTCCTTCACTTGCAATGAAGGAAACCCAACATAAACTAGCTCAGGTAGAAAGGGAACTGGAAGTGCAGCTAAAAAATATATCATCTCTCTTCTCAAACACATCATCTTTCCCTCTCACAGATTGGTCCCTTTGTGATGGTTTCATTCTTCACACTGTTGACTAATTTCTTCCATGCTCCTGGCAAGAGAACCACAGACTAGCCTAGACTTACACACAAGAGAACCACAGACCAGCCTAGACTTACACACTCTAGGCTCTGCAACCTCAGGGAAAACAGAGTTGATTTTTCCCAATGTTGAGTACCTAGAAGTATTCTGAATGGTTTTGCTAGGGTCAAACTTTTTCCTGGAAAAATCACAGCCACTGCAGATGGAATTTAGATTGCATAGGCCTCAGTCAAATGACCAGTGGCCATAGGAAAATACTAATACCAAGAAGCTAATAATAATAGCTAATGGTTAGTAAACATCTACTGTATACAGCCACTGTTCTAATGATCTTATATGATCATTGATCTTATATGTACCAAGTCATTTAATTCACACAACACACTTACAAGGTAGGGACTAGTATCTTCCTCATTTTATAGATAAGGAAACTGAGGTATACCAAAAGCTTAAACTGCCCCAGTCCCATAACCAGTAAAAAGCAAACTCAGGATTAAAATGAAAATACCCCAGACCCATGTTCCCAATTACTATGGTGTATTGCTTCAACATGCCGTGAGTGACAGTTCCCCCAAATTATAAGAGAAGAGCAAGCAGTGGTTCCATGAAGCAAAGTATGAGGTACAAAGGAAAACAACCAACATCTCATATAATAATTCATTAGTTTCACTTATTTCACTGAACAGTAATCCAAATATTCAATAAATATCTGATAAAGGTCTGCTGTAAATTACATTACACATCATTCCTTAGAGTAGAGAACAAGATGGGCCCATTCATGGTCACTAAATGTCTCCCAGACCATGCATAACAAAGGATCACAGGAAACTACCTTCTCTGCATGATAAAACCATTTTGTGTCCAAAATATTTTCCCAAGTTGTATTTAAACATGGTTTTTAAAAAATCATTTTATGGCCTTGTAACTCCAGAGGAAAAAAACTATGTTTCCAGCCCAGGGCAAATAACCTTTGAAGCTGAAATCAGTCAAAGGGAGAAATAAAGTGGGAGAAACCTATTTATTGCTTACAAGCAGTCATCCACTTCTGCTCAGCCAGGTCTCTCGTGACCCTAGCTGTAAAAAGGGACACCACCAAACCTCTCTGGTCCAGATATGCCCTCACTCCCCCTACCCTTGTAACCACCTATATATCAATACGGAGATGGACTACTTCTCTCCACCCCTTGTAAACACCTATTTATGTGGGGATACACTAAAGCTAGGAGAGAGAATCTGGAAATATTGCAATTTTACCCACAAGTATAAACTTAGATTTTTATAATTTTAAGTAAATAGTAAGTATAAAAGCAAGTGAATTAAATTTGTTTAACTGATTTGACCAGAATTTTTTGTTAAATAAGTTGGGATTTTTTTCTTCTGAAAATACTATAAAGAAAATATTGCACTCAGGCTCTGAAATAAATTTTTTAATTATTTAATTTGAAAAATATTTTCATTACGGCAATCTGTTGAATTATTAAAAGAATAAATGGAAATGGAAGAGGGATGAACAAAAGAAACTAATATTATTTTGCATAATGATGTGAAATACTTCACTGAGGTTTGAGACTTACAAATTAAGGAAAAGAAACCTATTCTTTACATATTCAGCCTAATTTAAATACCTACTAAGGATGGGTAGGTGATACAGCTAGGTGGTAGCTGTCCAGGTATAAGTGCATGTGTGGACATTACTGAGCAGAGGGGAGGACAGCTTCACGTCCAAGGGATGAGGCTGACTCAGCTCCAGCCTGTTGTTGCCATTTGGGAATGCAGGGCCAATTTTGCTAGTTCTTCCAGTTTTTAAAGAGAAGCTTAAAGTCTATATTTTTATGTGAAAACTCCAGAATTTTAAATAGTCCCAAAATTTTAAGACAGACTTTGTCTTTGCACACATGTCTGGCTACAGAGTCATTAATTCTATTTGAAACCTCTCATTAAACTTTAGTGTGTCTGAGAATATTTATCCTTAGGACATGTGTCTGCATTGTGCATTGCTGCTTCAATACTTACCTTGTGGAAACTGAGGAGAACAAGAAGGTAAGTCACACTGGAGGGTGTTTAAGCACTCGGTGAGCTAGTGGGAAAGTACTAGAGATGTATCCTCAAAGGGGAGAGGGGTCAGTGGGACGTGTCAAGCACACGGAGTTATTCCTAAATTTGCAAAGATTTTCCTCTGTGATGAGACCACCTGTGTTTGCTAATTGACACCCATATTGAAGTTAGGCTCCTACCCTCCTACCCAGACTAGGAGATACTGATGCTGTCTCCCTTGATTACATATCAAAGGATGTGTCCGGGGTCCTTGAGGATGGCATTCCTGGGTTGCAAAACTGGCAAGAAGATTTTAAGAAGTTCACATCTCAAAGGGAGCAAAGAAAGGATGTACAATTGCAACTTGTGTAAAGTAAATGCTCTAAGAAAAGGGAGGTCAGGGCCTAGGGTCAAAAGCCTGTCTAAAGTTCAGTCAAGCTGAGGGAATGTTGAGGCCCTCTCAGTCATAGAATGATGGTAGATGTTGATGTTTAGCAAGCTACACATCAGTGGATCATAAACAGGTGTAAATTCTAGATGTTTCAGCCCTCAGAGACCTCTCCCCCTTTCTCCCACATCCTCCATACTGCCTAGCGTACCTGGAAACAATGGTATGCCAGCGTGGTGGCAAAGTAAAAATTCTGTGCATCAAAGACCTAGGAGGGGAAACCAGTGCTGCCCCTGTATTCCCTCCAGGGGAATCTGCCTGCCTGGGTTTCTACCAATGGTGCTTATAACTGCACCAGTAACATGAGCTTCCACCAGCTGTGCAACCTTGGGCACCTTTGACTCTTTGTTTCCAAATGGGCAAAATAAATATATACCACAAAGCAAATACATGAGGACTAAATCTCTGTGTAGAGCACTCAACACGTGGCATATAGTAACAACTCAATAAATGTAACTACCAGTATTTCAGCCAGTTCTCATTTGTGCCATCATATTCTTATAGAATGATAAACATATTTAATATCAATAAAATACACAGAGAGGTGGAAGAAGAGAATCATGACTTAAATCTACCAAAATAGAGCAGAAAACAAAGTGTCTGCAAAGTGTGAGGCAGTAACCCCTTCCAAAGCACCATGTCCTACTTGCATAATTCCACCCTATTTTCTGCCCAATTTTCCTTAATCTTATTCCTTCAGAAATAAATATTTCCCCGCACAGATTTAAAATCTTCATGTTATTTAGCCCAAGGACATAATGCATAAATCTTTGTAGTATTTCCTTTCTTATATCTATCACGTGTTACGTTTTACCCAATACTATTTACTTTTTGAAAGCCAACTTGAGAGCTAATTGACTTTTCAGGCAGGAAGTTCTTTGTAAATTCTCCCTCAAAAAGGTTTTCTTTTGTTTGTATCTTGGTAGCAATTCTAAAGTTTTCAGGATTTGGACTCTGGTATTGTAATCGTGAAGTGGTCTGTTTTCTCATCCAATGAGCTCTGCCTGTTTGTGGATGTGACACTGCAGTGGAAGGAAGCCAAGAGCCTATAGTAGTGATCCTGGGGCAAATTTAAGCAGCTGTGGCCATGTAACTTAAAACCTCTGCGAAGTGTGCTGCAGCCCGTGCACGGCGTTAGTATAACATGAGGGCTGGATGTAGCCTGTTCTCCGGAGGACTTCCTCGCCTGCTGCAAGAAAGAGAGGATTGAAGGACAAACCTGGGTGCAGATGGAAAGGTCCAAATAGAAGATCTTGTGGCATCCATTCCCTAAATTCAGGTACTGTAAACCTTTGTGAACTTTCTGCAGTAAGCTAAACTAAGATTCTGTAAGTTGTGGAAGTACCTGAAAAGTCAGGGTGAGAGAAGAGAAAGGAAATGATTATACTTCAGTTGTTTTCTCACATCCTTCTTAAGCCACTATGACAAAGAGAAGTAAAACTATAAGTGAATCTTTTCTCCTTGTAGATATTCAACAGTTGAACTTTTTGTTAATTCTCTTCCTGTTAAGTGAAGAAAATTGCAGTAATAGATCAGATAATGCAAAATTACATTTCAAATGAAAATAAAGTTTTGCTTAGATTTTTAAGAAAGCTAATTGGGATAAAGCTTTGGGAGGTTTGTGCAGTCATATTACTTGGAAGTTAGTTTGTGTTTGAAACCACAGTTACAGAGTTTGCATTATTGTTGCATTGAAGTTTTAATCTTTGGAGCATCAAAATCATGCAAAAGTCTAGAAAGACAAACCCTTTGTAAACATCTAAATGATGATTAACTATTGCATGGAAGTGAGGCTTTGGGGCAGAAAGGAAGCAAAGTTGAACATAACAGGCTCTTAAAATGGACATGATAAGTAAATAGTTTGAAAAAAATAGATTTGAATATGCATGATTTTATAAGTAACATTTTCATTCTCTAATTAAAGAAAGACTGATACACAGAGCTTAAAAATGGGTCAAGAAGAACAGTCTGCAAATGAGTGAGCAACACATGAGGGGACTGAATTCATCAGAGGCTCTCAATCTCATTAGAGTTGAAACAGATTAAGTATGGCATTACCACCATGACCAAAATGAGAGCTTCCAGAAAAAAGGAGGTTTATTAGATGGACCCATATTACCATGCAAAAGCTCACAGCCTGAGGACGCTGGGACAATTTTCCAAGTCCTCCAAAGCCTGGTATTTTTTTAAAAGTGCAAGAACTCCCACTACTGCCAGATCTTGTAATGGCATTAACAACATGCTCTTGGCTTATGCTCTTCAACAGTTTAACAGTACATTTGAAAACGAAATAACAAAAAATGGGAAGATGCCTGTCTGTCCCTCAAAAGCCCACAAATGACTAATAAGGTTTGCTTTCACATAAATGGGAAATCAGACACGCAAGCATTGGCCATTACTCAGATTTACTCCAAAGATTTGGAAAACACATCTATATGACATAATGATTCCCATTCCATAGTGAATTCTTTGATTCAGAACACATTCCCCTCTAGTAATGGCTGTGTCCCTGAGATGCAGCAGAACAAAGAGGGACGCCTTCTGGATCCTGCAGTGGCTGTGTGGGCAGGGCCTGAAAGGAGAAAGCAGCGCTAACATCCCAAAGACACGTCACCTCTCCTGGGGCCCTTGAGTTAACTCGGAGCTATGCCAGAGTTTGGGGAATGTTTTATCTTCTCTCCCTGGAGTGTACCCTTGTGATTCAGCTGAGTAAAGTACAATTTTCTTGGAGTGGGGGTGGGGTCATGGGTTGTCACTTCTAACGAATTTGCTCTTTAATTTGGAGAAAGGAGGAGTGAGGCACACAGCACCACACAGTGGAAAATCCACGAGATTTTGAAATCTGCCCTTATGGATTTGAATCCTAGCCCTGACACTTACTGCAACTCCCTAACCTTTCAAAGATTGTTTCCACATCTAAGTGGAAATTATATCCTTTTGTTTTAACCCTGACAAACTGTCCAGTTTTCCTGAATCTCAGTTTTCCCACCTGTAACATGGATGTAATCTATCTGGTCTTTCCTCTTAGAGGTGTGACAATTACATGAGAACGGAGTTTATATTGAGGGTGATTTTTGATGATTAAAATAAGCAGGGATATGGCAGAAACTTTAAATATATATATGTGTATATATATATATATTTGTTAATATGTATATTATTATTACTACTACTACCTCAAATAATAATGACATACTAACAGTTCTTATGAAGTTTGCATTTTACCTTCTTCCACTTAATAGATTGGATACTCACCTGACAAAAGTGAAACATACAACTTATTCCAAGATTTTGGGGGACCTCACAATGCACCTATACCCTCATTTTGGTCATGGTGGTAATGCTATATTTAATCTGCCCCAACTCTAATTAGATTGATAGCCTCTGTAGTTAATTCATTTGCAGACTGTTGTTCTTAACCCATTTTTAAGGTCTCTATATCAGTTCATCTTTCTTTAACTATAACAACAAAATTGTTATTTACAAAATCATGCTTATTCAAATCTATTCAAAACTGGTCCAAACCTATTGTTTCATTTCTTTAAATCCATGTGATCAGTTAACAAATATTAAAAATGGGAACTGAACTAGGAGTACTCAACTTTTTTGGGTCACAGATGCCTCTGAATCTATGGACCCTTTGCCATCATGTTTTTAACGCATAAAATAAAATACTTAAAAATTACAAGGCAGCCAACTATAATTGAAAGATATTATTATCAAAATATTTTTAAAAACCAAGTGAGTAGAAAAATAATATATGTGCCTCTTTATTAGCATATTAATAGCAAATCTAGGGGCAGGCTTAATGACTACCATGATTTTAAAGTAGTGATGAGTGTCAATAATATCTCAAAATATTTGTAACAACTATAATAATATTTGTGAAAAGAAAATATATGTGATTTGTATGGATGGAAGAGTCCAGGGACTGCTAATACTACTCTGATTTTTACCTGCATTTCAGGTAGAGCTTGGTGAAAATAGAGATTTTTCCCCCCCATAAAAATTCATGGAACCCCTGAATTCCATCCCTGGTCTCCTTGAGGAATCCACTGACCCCAGGTTAAGAACCTTGGGTTTGGCAAAAGAAGTTGTTTATTTGACTGAATGACTCCCACACTGAAAGGCTCTAGATAACTCTCTTCAGAGTGGAACTTCATGGGAACCACTGGTTTGACAGCAAGGCCCAGGAATCTTCAGTGGCCCGGAGGCCTTTCTAGGGATTTACAACACGGCAGACCCAGCACAGCTAGGGAATGGAAAAATATTATTGACAGTGAAATTGTACTTGGCACATTTTTTGCAGTATTGCTACATTTTATGCTGAATTTTGGTAATGTGTTCCTTATATGAGTAAGATCTGATTAGTCCATTTTTCCCAACCCAGAGACAGCTTGATAATTCTAATTCCACTTTGAGACAGTGTTTGCAGCCTGTGTTTACCTTTTCCTAATTATGTGATAAGTAAGTGTTACTTGTGGAAGCAAGGGCTTCTCTTTGTGATTTATTTATTTTTCTACTGCTACTATAATCTTTAAGAAATCACATTTCTTACAGAAATTACAAAGATAATTTTTTCTTCTTTCTGTTTGGATTTTTTCATTAAAGAATTGAGGTCTTCTGTGTTGGATCTCCAACAACTGAGGGAGTTACTGTTGGAGGGAATGTAGAATTACATACTTAAGTGAAAATTTCTCTAAAAAATCACCAAGACAAGACCGAATCTATAAAAGAGAGGCTTTGTATGTGGATTCTTCTGAGTTGAGTATTGGTCTTTCTAGTGTCACAGAGGCAGTTTCGCACGATGGAATTCCTTCAGAAAAATCCAAATGCAGTGATTTGAACTATTTATAGGTAGACCTTGAGAATGTCCAGTCAAGGCAACAGCTTACTCTGTCTGCCCCACTGTGATGGGCACTGGGGAAACTATATAACATGAGAGAGTTTGCCAACAAAAAGTTTCCAAGCTGACTGAAGGGTCAATTCATCTGTATGACAAATAATTAGATACCGTGCCACTGTAGCATATGAGGTTCTTTTAAGAAGCAAAGATTATAATTGCTTTACTCACCACTATATGCCCAGAATGCCTCAAACATAGTAGTTGATAAATATAAGGTGAATAAGTGAATGAATGTTGCTGTTAGAATTCAGGAAAAGGAAAAATCACTGTGGACTTCTAGTAAATGGTGTGACTTGAGGTGAATTAGTCAAGAGAAGGAAAAAGGCATTCCAGCTGTAGACAGAGAGAAGTATGTAAGCAGTCAGATGACAGGCCTCCCTTGGGAAACCTGGTGGGAAAGTTTGATCAGATAATGCTAAGAGACAGTAATGGAAGAGTCTAAACCTGAAGCATGTCAAGACTTGATAAGACTGTTTTTCAGGGTGATACTTCTTGCAGCACAAAGCAAAGCAGGTTGAAAGGAAGGGAGACCAAGGGGGACCATCAGGATGCTGTGCAAAATGAGGTGCTGAGAGGCCCGCCTGGTTGTGGTGATTAGAATGAATGGAAGGGTTGAATTCAGGAAATATTTAGGAGCAAAAAATGTCCTGGAATGGACATCAGCTGTGGGTAGCCCTCATTTTCAAAAACTTTAGAGAACTAAGCAAGTGAGGAAAAATATTCAAATAAAAAAATCATCAATTCAATGTTGCTAAGAAGGGCAAAAAAATTAGTTTTCTTCTAGCAAATGATTTGTTTGGAAAGAAATATGAAAGGTACCAGAGAGAGAAAGACAAGAGCAACACACATTTCTCTGATTATTTATAATTTCAAGAACACTTTTGAAAGCATATTTGAAACAATCGAAAACAGCAAAATGGAGAACAGTTATGAAATGTATTTTTATTGCAGGTTAGAAAGTCAGTGTATATTTTTTTAATATGACAAAAAACTGAGTATCGAGTAGCATTTATCCTAAATGTTCTCTCAATAATAAGAACTAAGGGTTAAAAAATCAAAACAAAATTCTCATTTTGGGTCCTATTTTTCTATCTGTTGCCTACTAAAGGTATAGCATCCTTTGCAAAATAAATGGCCCAAAAAATTATGCATACTGTAGTATTATTTTCAATTTCCTAGGAGAAAAGTTATCTCAGAGTATGATTGGAAAAATGTTTTTATGTTAAAAAAAGTAATTTATAATGTGATGTATGCTACTCCTAAATTATCTACTTGGTATGTTCAGATTTTCACATATGGAGTAATGGAATTTATATTATCTCTCTCTACACACATACCATATACACATATATGTGCATGTATTATATAGAGAT